CCCAGGGGGACAGCTTGAGGCTCTGTCTCAAAAAAAAAAAAAAAAAAAAAGAAAAAATCATTTCACAGCTTCTAGCCTAAAGATGGGCCCTGGTCTGTACCATTTAGGGTAGCTAAAACTTAAGTGAAAATCTCAGTGTTTTTGTTCTGAAAATCAAGAAGACAGGATTTGAAATAACAATAGCCATTGACAAGTAAGGGGAATACTGAAAATGAGAGTGCCAAAGAGGGGGAGCCCCACATTCTGTATATAAATTCTGCCCAAATCTGTGACCCAGCATGTAGGTATAAGGCAGACTCCAAATGACCCAACTAACAATATAAAAACTGATATTGAGCTGCTGTCCAGAAGATAGAATTTTCCATTTGAGTATAATTGAATACTCAATTATACTCACTACCTGCTCAATTATACTCACTACCTGCTATAAAATCAAAAACATAACACTTCGCTGAATGTAATAGTATCCAGACTCTCTACATGTAACATGCACAGTGTCTATAATACACAATGCAATTAGTCAGCATACAAAGAAACAGAAAAGTCTTGACTCCTTCTCATCAGTAAATGACAATCAATAGGGTCCCAAACTTGAGATGACCCTGATGTTGTAACTAGCAAACATGGATTTTAAAACAGGTATTATAACTAAACTCAGTGATGAAAAGGAAAATATGCTCATTGAATGAAGAGATAGGAAATCTCAGTTGAGAATAGAAACTATGAAAAAGTACCAAATGGAAATTTCACACTTCAAAAATACAATATCTGGAATAAAAAATTCACTGGATAGAGTATATTGTTAGTTAAAAAAAAGCAAGGTGCAGAAAAGAACATATATATACAGAGGGTGCCAAAAGAAGTACACACATTTTAAGAAAGGAAAAAACTATGTGTGTATGTGTGTGTGTATATGTATAAATATATATATATATTTTTTTTTTTTTTGACACAGTCTCACTATGTCAGCCTCAGTAGAGTGCTGTGGCGTCATAGCTCACAGCAACCTCAAACTCTTTGGCGTAAGCAGTTCTCTTACCTCAGCCTCTAAAGTAGCTCGGACTACAGGTGCCTGCCACAACACCTGTCTATTTTTTTGTTGCAGTTGTCATTGTTGTATAGGTGGCACAGGCTGGGTTTGATCCCGCCAGCCTCGGTGCATGTGGCTGGCTCTGTAACCACTGTGCTACGGGCGGGTAGCCAAAAAAACCTGTTATTAAAATTGTAATACTCAAGTCACATTTGACTTCTGCAATTATAAGAGGTGCTCAACATGCTTGTTTTCCTCTTAATTCACATATATTATCAAATTAAACATAGAACCTACCATAAAAGAGATCAAAAACTAAAACAAATAAGCATATACTTTATTTTTCACTTTTTTTTTTTTTATTGAATAGTAACTGTGTACATTGATGCACTTTGGGGGTACAGTGTGGTGTTTTCATACACAATCCAAGACACTTCCATCAAACTGGTTAACATAGCCTTCATGTAACTTTCTTAGTTATTATGTCAAAACATTCATATTCTACTCATAGAAAGATTCACTTGTACCCTTGCAAGATGAACCACAGAAGTGAACCCTCGAATCCCTCTCCCTCCCCCCTCCTTCCCCCTTCCCCATATCCTTAGGTTGTTATTAGGTTATAGCTTTCATATAAAAAGGTTTAAATTAATTTCATAATAGGTGTGTGTACATTGGATACTTTTTCTTCCATTCCTGTGATACTTTGCTAAGAAGAACAAGCATATACTTTAGAACACATAAATGAGGTAAAGGAGGCATCTGGACAGAATGCCTCTTGGGATGTTCCCTAAGTAGATTTATGGAGCGCTATGACATTATAGCTCACAGCAACCTCAAACTCTTGGACTCAAGCAATTCTCATCCCTTAGCCTCCCGAGTAGCTGGGACTACAGGTATCTGCCATAACACCTGGCTATTTTTAGAGACAGGGGTCTTGCTCTGGCTCAGGCTGTTCTTGAACCTGTGAGCTCAGGCAGTCTATAGGCCTCAGCCTCCCAAAGTGCTAGGATTACAGGTGTGAGCCACTGCACCCAGCCCCCCTAAGTAGAATTCTTAGTACTAGACACAGATCTAGCTATTCCATAGCCTAGTTGCATCAGATGTAGGGATTCTGTATTGTGAAATGAACATCCTGTGTTTATTCTGAGAAGCCAAAATAACCTCATAAGTCTGCTCTTTGTGCTTCCCATTTTCTAGGACCTCATAGTTGACCAGACAATAGAGAAAGTTTCTTTCTGTGCCCCAGATAGGAACTTTGATAGAGCCTTTTCTTACATTTGTCGTGATGGCACCACTCGGCGCTGGATCTGTCACTGCTTCATGGCTGTCAAAGACACGGTGAGTCCAACACGTGTTTATTGTGAGTATTCTCAGCTGAGCTCCTTCCAGGTTTGCTTAACCAACAGTTTCCAATATATTTTTAACAAATACATGCTGCTACAGCTGCTCTTGAAAGTACCTAAACTAGACTATTTTTGAACCTATTATTCAAACAGTTCATACTCTTGGTGTAATCCAATGAGTTGCAAAATGATTGGCTGAGATACAAGCTCATTAAAGGAAGTGAAAGTGCTCTGGCCATGGTAGTTGCTAAACTTTGAAACTTTTTATAATTGGAAGTATTTTTAGGACTCTTAAACGTTACTTTGTTTGCCACACATCTGGGTATGGTGTTATAAATCTATTGGCAAAGAGATTACTATATAGGAAAGGATTGAATTGGGACGTATTTTCAACTAATATAAAAATAGAAATATTAAATTTAGTACAATTAATAACTATGCTAGAAATTGTTGCATGGTAGAAAAATTTTTTTAAATAGAGAATAATTCATCCTTTATGTAAATTACTTAAAATTCTGACATAAGGCTCAGCACCTGTGGCCTAAGTGGCGAAGGCACCAGCCACATACACCTAAGGTGGCGGGTTCGAATCCAG